GAATTATTGATATATCTGTGTTAGAAGAAGAACATAACCGGTTTATTCTACTTATTAAACAAATTGAAGTAGAATATGGTAAAAAATATATTACACCAAATCTTTATCTAGCACTTCATATTAATCAATGTTGCCTTGACTATGGGTCACTTTATGCATTTTGGTGCTTCTCATTTGAGAGAATGAATAGCTACCTTAGTTTACTTCCAAATAGTCATCGGCAAATTGAACCAGAATTAATGCACTGGCTTATGCAAGACTCTATAGTTAATGACCTAATTAATCAATCAGGTACTGTGAGATGGCTTGATTTGCTTTCAGTAAGAAAAACAGTTGGAAGCTTAGCAGCATCAGACCAGTTTGAAACTGATGAGTTACAAAGGTTTCTTCAAATGTCAAGAAGCATTGAAACAAGTTCAGTTAATGGTGTTGAAGATTTTTCTGGAGAATTTTTGATTCAATCAAAAATTCATATAATGATGTCTGATAATATATTAAATATATTGTTGGAATTTTATTCGGCATCTTATCCTCAACATTCATTCCAGATACCATTCGGTAGTATTAGGATGAAAGTTCAATATTAATTAATCCATTTGGAGACCAATTCGGCCGTCTGCGAATTGGTTCAGAAGCATTTAGGTCAACTATGTCAATGCGGCATACAAGAAGCTCCTTTATAATGGCAAATTTTATTAATCAAGATGGAGCTTCTTGTGATACATATGTTAACCAAATACAATATTTCATTCAACAGGCAGTAAATATTAACAATCATAAATTAGAACATAATCTAGCATTTGTATATTGGTATAAACCAGCATCTAATAGTTCTACAAGATTCTATTTTAGAATAAATGAGGAAGAAAAGTGATTATGCAATATTGAACTTTGGACTAAAGACTTTTTTCCAATTAGTCGTGATTGTATAATACCAGTTCATCAAATTTTGAACCAATTTGTACCTAGACCTTATAAACTAGTACACAAAAAAGGTTCAAAAGAATATATTGCTGTAATGCCAATTAATAGAAAAATTCATATGTAATTTTAATATAATAAATACTCGAATTTATATCGAATTTTAATTTTGTTTATATTTAAACTGTATACTGCATTATTATTTATTGACTTTTTAGTTAGTATATGTTAATTATTAGTCACTTAGTTATCTTAATTTTAAAATTTGACAGTTAAATTTAAGACAAATTTTTTGATAATTCGATTGATCGAATTTTATAAGTTGATTAAATTTTATTTACTAAATTTATTATAAAGTTGATATTAATTAATTAATTTAATTATAATAATAAAATCGACATATTAAATGCCATAATTCAACAATTATTACATAGTAAAAATTAGAAATTCAACATATTAAATACCACAATTCGACCACCAATATAAAAAAAAGCCTATATATAAAATATCAAAATTCAACAATTTTAAAATTAATAAATTCGACTACTATTACATGACACAAATTATAAATATTATAAATTCGACACCACAATTCAGCAATTATTACATAGTAAAAATCAATAATTCGATATATTAAATGCCACAATTCGACCACCAATATATGTCTCAACCATTGGCGAATTAAAAAAAGTCTATATGTAAAATATCAAAATTCAACAATTTTAAAATTAATAAATTTGACAACTATCACATGACAAATTATAAATTTGACACCACAATTCAACAATTATTACATAGTAAAAATCAAAAATTCGATATATTAAATGCCACAATTCGACCACCAATATATGCTTCAACCATTGGCGAATTAAAAAAAGTCTATATATAAAATATCAAAATTCGACAATTTTAAAATTAATAAATTTGACAACTATTATATGACAAATTATAAATTCGACACCACAATTCAACAATTATTACATAGTAAAAATTAAAAAATTCGATGTATTAAATGCTACAATTCGACCACCAATATATGCCTCAACCATTGGCGAATTAAAAAAAGTCTATATATAAAATATCAAAATTCAACAATTTCAAAATTAACAAATTCGACAATTATCACATGACTCAAATGCCGCTCAAATGCTTTTTTTTCATCCTTTTCTATGCCTATACCATTTTGATAGCATAGTCCAAGATTGCTTAGATTCTTTGCCATTATTCTTTAATTCAACTATTGCTCCTAAATTTAGGAGCATTGAGCAGCTAAAGGCTGCTCACTAAGTTTTTTTAGATGTCGTATAATCTCTTGCAACATTGTATAATATTCATTAATTCTTGCTGCTAAACTTCTTTCTTCTGCGGAATACTCATAGCTTGAGCTTCTTGATTCTCTTCTTTTGTTACACTAGTCGAATATAAGAAATTCGACTACCGAATAAAATGGCTGAATCGACCTGAATTCGACCGTCAAATATTTGGCTGATATTATACCGAATGATAGAGTAAATCAGTAGCTAATAGACAGTCGAATGCTAATAAAAAATCAGCAACTGAATTCAGGTCGAAAATTTTAATTGACAACTGATTGACATACTAAAAATCAATCTGTAATCGACAACCAAATACTTATAAAATTCAGAATAAAATCGATATAAATTCGATGGCTGAATTCAGGTCGATTCGGCCATTTCATTCGGTAGTCGATTAATTACAATAAATTGACTTATAATCGACCACCGAATACTTATAAAATTCGGAATAAAATTGGTATAAATTCGATGGCCGAATTCAGGTCGATTCGGCCATTTCATTCAGTAGTCGATTAATTACAATAAATCGACTTATAATTGACCACCGAATACTAATAATTGACAACTGCTTACTAATAATATTTGGTATAAATTCGATAGCTGAATTCAAGTCGAATTGGCTATTTCAATTGATTGTCAATTAATAATCGACAATCAATTACTAATAACGTTTGTACAAATCGAATTCTAGATAATTTTAACATATTATAAATTTATTAAAACAAATTAGATACAAATTTAAGAAAAAAGAAAAAAACAAAGAAAAAAACAAAAAAAAAAAGAAAGAAAAGCGAATAAAAATTAAAAAAAAAAACAAAAAAAGAAAGAAAAAAAAAAGTAAACTCTTCATTTTTTTTGAAGGTTCTTCTATAGTATCAGAAGCTGGTCTTTTACTACAACTTCTAGCACTCTTCCCTTCGTCATCTCTCTATTCACTATTCACCATCATCATCAGAACCTTTATCCTCATCTAACTTATCCTCTTTATCCTCTTCATCTTTTTTCTTCTCTTCCTCTTCATCCTCTTCTTCCTTCTCATCTTCATCATCATCATCACTATATTTATCCCTTACTGCCCAATCAGGCAGTTTATCGAGTCGAGGAACTATTAACATATATGAGCTTTAGCAAGAATGTTTAGAATTAAATTGCATGGCTGTATCGAGAACACCATACAACAAATTGGTTAACTATTAAAATAAAAAGAAAAAATCAACATAAATTAATTAAATTAGTATTCCTCTTATCACTATTCAACTAATGTTCAGTATGTCGAATGATATGCTATGTATATCATTTGACATACAGAACATTAGTTGAATGGTGATCAAATTTTGCTAGTATAACAGAAAAAAAAATTTTTATACCTTTTTTGACCTCCAAGCCAAGCTATAGACGTTAACATACAGATGACCTCTTTCGTCTGTTTTTTTTACCTGGGTCTGACATTTCAGGTGAATGGATGTCATTGTTGGCCAAAACCCTGGTTAATTCGTTCATGTCATAGCCGGAAAGTTGAGTATCCTTCTTCGAATGAAGGTACTTGACCACCGAAGCTCGCTGAGACATTTTCTGTAAAATTAAATTAAAATATTGAAAACTAAAATTTAGTAAATTATGACTTAAAAATCGACCTAAATTCAGTTAGGTCGATTTTTTAATTTAAAATCGACCTAGCTGAATTTAGGTCAATTTTAAGTCATAATATATAATATATATATATAATTCATACATCGCCTCTTCAGTAGTTTTTGTGGATCCGTTCGTCGAAATGCATGCTTCGGGTTGGATCATGATGTATACCGCGAGTATTACAAGACGATTTGAGATGCTGTCTCAATATGTTGACCAACTTGGTCCGATTTGTTTCATATTTCTTTTAAAAGATCGACTAGCGTAGGGATCGTATTTTGGTTTAGTCGATCTTTTTGCTCGTTCCATTTCAATTCATAGTTGAGGCCAAAATCCCCACCTCTTTTATTGAGGATATGAAAGAGTTCGCTCTATTAATTTTGATTTAAAAAAATAAATATAAATATATGGGGGGAGTCAGTAGAAATGGGACAAATTTTTTCTAAGTAAAAGTTTTCTTAACTTTAAATTTAAATATTTTGTCAA